TTGAAGGCGTGGCCTTGGGGAGCATTGGAGGTGAGGACGAAAGGCCAAGATCCAAAGATATGAATGTCTAGGCTTGGCTCACTACAGGGGCCGTGGGGAATGTGCCCCTGAGCCTGTTGAGATCCCCCAGACTACTGCTGCCCTGCTCCGCCCACTGGCTTAGCCCTGCCCAGGTTTGGAGGGAGGGGTGAGGCCGGCCACAGGATTGAAGGGGTCACTGTCCCCTGTGAATGGGGGTGGGAAGAGGACTAGAAACAGCTTCTCCGAGGCCTGGTTCTGTCTCCCTGGGGGCTGGAGATCCTGTTTGTAGCGTGTGCCCCTGGGAGGCCACTGTGAGTAGAATCTTAGCTTGGGAATCCACTCAAGTGTGTGTCTCCTTCATGCGCCCAGGAAGCCATCCTGGCTCTGGATTGTGGCTAAGAGAGTAATAGGAGAAACCTCATCACTGTTGAGTAGCTTCCATGCTTTTGGAACCTCTGCTGACTTCAGAACTGGGCGAGCTTAGGGATTGCTTGTGTTGGTTTCACTTTTTTTGCTTAAACTGAAAGAAGTACCAGCGTATCAGAGAGGGTAATGTGGCAGGCCACCAAGGACGCGCCCAGAGGCCAGCTGTGGCAGTTAGAGCCCACCCCAGCTGTTTGCATTTTTCTTCTCCCCTGATTGGGGTTGAAGTGAATCCTAAGTATCTGTCTGTATTTGTAAAATAGAACTGCAATCCCGGAGGTCTGTAACAATTGTGGATCCTTCATCAGTGTTCAGTATGGCAGAGTCACTTTTCAAGTAATGATGGCAGAGTACAGTTGGAAAGAGAAGTTAATGGCTGAAGATGTATGGATGGGACTTTTTTCCCTGATTGAGCATTCTGTGTGACTGGCCCCCAGTCAGTCTGTGGTGTGAACCTTTCACCAGCCCGCAAGCCCAACACGACTGCACTTGGTCAAAGGTGGTTTGTCGGCTTTGTACCTTCCTAAAGGCAGCTCCCGAGCAGTGCCGAGTGTTCCAACCTCCCGTTGTGGCCGTGCCTCTTATTCACAATGGGACATGGGTCAGCTCTCCGTTGGCCATCTCGGGGGCCCTGGCAAAACTCAGCCACAGGCACCACCTCCTTGGGCTGTGGGAGGATTCTGTGAGACGATCATGCTTGCCTGCTCTTTCTCTTGGGTTGAGATTCAAAATTGGGCTTTGTCCTAACTGACCTGTGTTCCTTCCTTCCCCTGTTCCCCCACCTCTGCCCAGCCCTCCTGACTGTCCCTGGCATGCAGGCTCTGCTGCCCTCATGCCCCCTCCTGTCTTGTGCAGAGGCTGTGTGCTGTCAGGACACCCCTCCTACTCGTCCTGTAGGTCCGTGCAGGTGAAGTCTGCAGGGAAGCCATTAGGCTGACATAGCCCTTGCCTTTGTGGCTTGGGGCTGGCATTTTCATTCTAGTTCACTCCCCAAATGGCCGCAATGAGTGGAGCTGAGCTGATCTGAAGCCAGTAGCCTCTTCCTGGTCTCCCAAGTTGGTACAGGGACCCAAGTACTGGAACCATCCTCTGCTAATTTTCCAGGCCATAAACAGAGAACTGGGTGGGAAGCCTGAGCCGTCACCACGCTGCTGGCAGCACGAGCAGAGGCACTGGCCCCAGTGTTTTAATGTTCTATCCCTTTAAGCAACTCACTGCCAGCTCTGCCTGCTTGCGTCTTTCCACAGGGTCTTAGATGCCTGGGTTCATGAACTGAGCACTCACTACATGTCAGACACCCTGCCTTGCATACTTTCTGTGTTTGATAAATAAACAAAGAAAAATGCATTACATGGGTCTCAGTTGGTTAATCCTCCACCTGCAAGCGCCAGGATCCCATATTGGCAATAGCTTGTGCTCTTGACTGCTTCATGTCCAATCCAGCTTCTTGCCTGTGGCTTGGGAAAGCAGTAGAGGATGACCCAAAGCCTTGGGACCCTCTGCCTGCTTGGAAGACCCATAAGAAACTCCTGGCTTCACATCAGTTCAACTGTTGCAGCCATTTGAAGAGGTGAATCAGCAGATGGAAGATCTTTGTCTCTCCTTTCTGCAAATCTTTTAAAGATTCATAACACAGGACTGTGAAGGGAGGAGAGAGATCTTGTGTTCGATTTGCTTCTCAAACAGCCGGAGCTGAGTCAGGTTGAAGCCAAGAACCTAGAACTCAGTCTACCACGTGGGTGGCAGCAAGCAGCTCCAGGAGCCTTCCCTGAAAGCTGGCATTGGAATAGGAGCAGGACCCTTAACACCAGCCCAAGGTGGCTGGCATGCAGGCGGTTTCAGTGCTCTGGCTCCCTAGCCCCGCCTCCTGAAACTTCTGCAAAGCTTTCCCCGGAGGAAACCAAGGCTGCAGTTGGGGTGCTCCTGGCTTTCCCCCTCCTCTACCTGCCTGCTGAGATCTTGTGTGAGTATGGGATGAGTTGAGTTTCCCAAGGGATCTGCAAGGTGAGCGTCCTGTCACAGCTCCTGGTACTGCCCTAGAGACCTCAGGTAGCTCCACTTTTAGGGGGAAAGTGGGCCAAGGACTCAGCACACACAGGGTCCCCACCGCTGCTCTTCTCTCAGGCCCTCCATGTTGGCGTTTTCATCTGGGCTGGGGGCTTTGCTGAGAGTAGGCCTGGGAGGGGCCTGGAGAGGGTTCCCAGGGTGGGGTGTGTGCCCTAAGGGGTGGGGGAGAGCAGCCAGGATGTCTCTGCCTTTCATTGGTAGAGTGGCCCTGCCCTCCTCCCCCTCCCTCTCCTGGAACATTCCAGACATTCCAGACGATCTGACTGCCATTGCTTTCAGGATATGGATTAACATCCCAGCAGAGATTTGATTTCACCGCAACCCCTCTCAACCCCCTTCCCCTCCCTGAAAAAAGACCCCCCCTAAACGAGCTGGGAACTGAAGGGGAACTTCCACCTCGACTGTTAAAGGGCCATCTTGAAAGAGCGAACTTGGGTGTTTCAAGGCCTTTGCCCCTAAGCCACCCTTGATTCAGAAGGGTTTCCTGGCGGGAGAGGCCTGGGCCATCCCTGTCTCTTCCTGTTCCTCTGTTCTCCACCCCTTTGTCTTTGTTGGCAAGGGGTCCTGCCTTCCTGATGTGTGGCTTGGCTAAGTAAGCAGGGCTGTGGGCAGCGTTCCCTAGGGGACACAGCAGAGTCACCAGGGGGCATGCTGGTGGGCTTTGAGATTCTGTCTCTAGGCTAGTTTCTCATTCCTGCCTGCTATTTTATCCTGCTTTCATCTTCCCCACTTAGGTCAGGTTCATGAAATGACCTAACCAGAGAGCCACAAATGTCTGCATTTCGACCTGTCTTGATATTTCTTTCTTGTTCTGCATCCCCAGAAAGTGCAGAGTGAGAAGGGAGCTTGGAGCCTCACGCCTTCCGTGTCACCTGGAGACCCCGAGGCGGCAGGGGCCACGGCTCAGGACAGCCCAGCCCAGCACATCTGTGGTTAGACTGGACGCTCACTGCTGAGCAAGAGCAGACACGTCCCTGTGTGGCGATTGTGAGGCAGGATGTAGCTGGCAGATGGACACACTCTCGGGCACAGGTGGAGGGCCAGAACCAGACTTTCTTGCTTTGGGATCCAGTTTGCCTTCAGGCCACTAGAATTCTCTCAGACTGTGTGTTTCTACAAAATTCACCATTTGGAAACTAGGGAAAAAAACCAAAACAAAACATCAATTGACCAGCACATTGGGTCTTGCCTGAGGACATTTGATGTCTTCAACCCACAGTTGAGGGCTCAGGATAGAATGGTGAGGGAGCCAGCCCAGAGTCATGGCTGAAGCTGCGAGTCCTCAGGGAAAATCACTGTAGGAGTCTTCTCCCACTGCACTTACAAAACTTGAAGCTAAGCTCTTCATCTGCTACTGCTCCCATGTCCCCGCCCGCTCTGTGAACACAGTTTTGTTTGTTTCAAAGGAGGGACTGGGTCTCCAGGAAGGTGAATACTCTGGTGTGAGATCAGTGCTAGTAAATAGGTTTAAGTCCATTTCTGGACCAAGGGCCCAACCTCTGCCCTGTGACCCCCAACCGTCCTGGGCTCTGGCGTGTTGTCTCCTGGGATGGGATGGGAGCACCCCAGGCCAGGTTGCTTTTGCTTCTTGTGTGCGTCCCTAGCATCTGGAATGAGATTGGTGCTGGTGAGAGAGTTGTCAGGTTCATCAAGAGATTCGTTTAGTTTATTTGAAAGACAGAGCTGCAGAAGCAGAGAGAGAGAGAAATCTACCCCATATCACTCCCCAAATGGCCACAACAGCTGGGATCGGGCCAGGCTGGAAGCCAGGAGGCTACAGTTCCACCCAAGTCTCCAACTTTGGCCATCTTCTGTTGCTCTTTTCCTAGGCTCGTTAGCAGGGAGCTGGATTGGAAGTGGAACAGTTGGCTTTGAACTGGAGCTTGGATTCTGGTACCTCAGGGGGTGGCTTACTGCACTGCACCACAACACCAGCCCCTCTTCCTTCTTTTTTAAGAAATTGCTGGGCCTGGTGGCGTGGCCTAGTGGCTAAAGTCCTCACCTTGAACATGCCAGGATCCCATATGGGTGCCGGTTTTAATCCCGGCAGCTCCACTTCCCTTCTAGCTCCCTGCCTGTGGCCTGGGAAAGCAGTCGAGGACGGCCCAAAGCTTTGGGACCCTGCACCCATGTGGGAGACCTGGAGGAAGCTCCTGGCTCCTGGCTTCAGATTGGCACAGCATTGGCAGTTGCAGGCACTTGGAGGAGTGAATCATCAGTTGGAAGATCTTCCTCTCTGTCTCTCCACCTCTCTGTATATCTGACTTTGTAATAAAAAATAAATAAATCTTTAAAAAAAAGAAGTTGTTAGCAGGGTGCCCCAAGCCTCTGGGGCTTTACTTCCTTTGGTGGCAGTGACATCAACTTTGGTCTCTAAAAGCAAGATGCCCTTCCTGAAGGCTGCCCTCCTGAGCAGCAAGGACAGACATCCTAGAGTCTTAAGACTTCCAAGTCAGTCATTAACAACTCTTTTCCCTCTTCAATTTTAGGAGTCGGAAGATTCAGATCAGAAATATTCCACCTCAGCTCCGATGGGAGGTAAGGGGAAGCACCTACGAGCAGGACCGGGGCGGGGAGGATAGTGGACTGGGAAGGTAGGGCAGGTCATTCCCCTCTCCCCAGTGCGCTGGGTCAGGCCAGGCCGCTGTGTCCCCCAGCTCTGCGTTTGCTTGGGTCTCCTCCTTCACCGGGGCTTTCTGGTCTCACTTTGGCGTGCGTGAGCAGGGAGATGGGCACAGGATTGGCTGAGCACTGGTGGAGGTGGGGTGGTGGTGGCTGAAGGTGATGGAGGCGTGCAGACAGTCTGGGCCTGTTGAGACTCCTGCCCCGGGTTGCCACCAATGCGGTCCTCAGGGAGGAGGGGGAAGACTGGCAGGCCATGCTGGGCTCTGAGCATTCTCCTGAGTAGGGCTGTGGCTTGGGGCTGCTCTGGGGCTGCCTGGGGGAGCTCAGGACCTTTCTCTCTGTATACCCACAGGTGCTGGACAGCCTGCTGGCTCAGTATGGCACCGTGGAAAATTGTGAACAAGGTAAGAGTGAACCGTGGTTGTTGGTGGAGTTTGGGGGACCTGCTTACTCCCTGGGGTCAGTTCTCTCTGGAGGCTCAGCAGAAAGACACACACACACACACACACACAGCAGCACAGTGTAGCTTCCACCCACTGGTTCACTCCCCAAATGGCCTCAAGGGCTGGAGCTGGGTCAGTCCAAAGCCAGGAATTGGGAGCTTGGGCCATCCTCCCAGGCTGTTAGTAGGGAGCAGGATTGAAAGTGGAGTAGCTGGGACTTGAACCGGCAGCTTCCCAGGTGGAAACAGTTTAGGAACAGGAATTGTGTGTTCCAGCTCAGTCGGTGCCCTCTGACTTTTCAAAGCCTCATGCACTCTCTCTGTTTCTGGTGGGAGCAATCTGTGAGTTGCTTCTTTCTAAACTCACAGGCAGCTCCATGTGCCTTTGTTGATTCATAAATGCAGAGGGTGTATGATACATTTGGAACGACACGTAGAGACATTTGAAGAATGGGTTCACAGAGGCAAAGTGAGGTCATAAAAGGGTTGGCTTGGATTTTTTTGAGGCTTCTTTATTGCCAGGATTGTGAATTCTTTTCCGTGGGAATGGGCCGAAACGAAATGCGGCGTGGTTTTCGGTCAGCTGTAAGATAGTGGTGAGGTGGACAGGAACGGTTTAGATTTGGAGATCTTCAAGGAAAAAGGAGATCATTGCTTCGCCCAAGGTCAAAACACGCAGCTCAGCTCTGCTCAGCAGCGTGCTAGATGAGCGCTTACAGTCTTTGCCTGCCCCAGGGCCTGAGGTGGGGCATCTGGGAGGCTGGACGCAGCCATGTCCGGTGCCCAGCACTGCTCACGGGGTGGATTAATGAGTTACTCTGGGACAAATAGAGTACGATTGAGCAGTGGTCCAGGAAGCAAGCGCCTGCCTGAGGTCTTTCTCACCCCTGCACACCACTGCAGGGCTCACAGCAGGGTCTGATGTCACCAAGCCTTGCTAGGGAGCTGTGACACGTGGTATCTGGGGGACAGTCGGGGAGGGGCTGCGTTTTGTGGGACATCAGAATAGGGAAGGTCCTCAATTCTGTTCCAGTGTCACCTTCCACTCGTGATCAATCTGTCAGCACAGAGAGCTTTCAGCCTGGGGGAGGGTTTGTTCTGGATTGTGGTTTTGATTGCCCCCTCTCCCGCAAGTGTGATCTCCAGGGAGACTGAAGTCAGGTGGGTGTGGGGGGGCACCACTGCAGTTCAGTCCCTGGGCAGTTTCTCTTGTCCCCCAAGGTGGCTAAGCCTTGGCCAAAGGGGTTCCAAGTGTACTGTGACCACGTGCCCTCGTCGTGGCTCTCTGTCCCCAGCTGAGCAGGCACGGGACGCGCCAGTTCAGAAATCACCAATGTGGAAGACAGAGGCACGTGTTACTACAGTGAGAAATGTGCAGCCATATACTGGAATTCTGTTTACTTAGTATTTGAAAGGAAGGTGACAGAGACAGTTCTAGCCATCATTTCATTCCCTAAAGAGCCTGCAGCAGCCGGGGTCTAGCCAGGCTGAAGCCGGGATGGGAAGAGGAGGAGGGGCTGGTGTTGAGGCTGTAAGTGCCTGAGCCTTCACCTGCTGTGTGCATGAACAGGAAGCTAGAATCGGACGTGGGGTTAGAACCCTTGGGCACTCCTCCAAGAGATGTGGGTGTCTCAAGTAGCATTTCAACAGATGCACCCAATGTCCATCCCCAAAGTGATCTTACACTATGGCTTGCCGTGAATTGAAGTGCCCTGGTGTGAGGGGAATCCAGAGAAAACCCCCAGCTTGTATGTAATCAGAGCCAAGGGTCCTGCTGGGATTATACTGGCTGGGATCCAGAAGCTGCGGGGGCCCAGCATGCCCACGTGCACAGTGTTGCAAATATTCACCTGGAGAGGGTGCAGATCAGCGCCTCGCCTGTGCAGCCTCTGAACCTGTCGCCCGTGGGGACCCTGTAGCCCAGCCTCAGCACCCCGATCTGCTATGGTTGGGGTGTTCCACAGCCCTTGTGGAAGCCCTTGTGAGTCTTCCCCGAGCTGCTTCGTGGCGTATCGGGCGCTGCAAGCCGCTCAGCTCACCCGATGTGTTGATTTTTAACTAGCTTAACCTTGCAAGGCTGTATTCATTGCCTAGGTGTGGGATGCCTGTGTGGGGCAGGCGTCTGCGACTGCTGAGGTGGCTGACGTGGCAGCTGCAGGCTCGGGGAGCGGGGCGGGGAAGAGGACGAGAGGAAAGGAAAACACAGGTGGTCACTTGGGCTTGACCAGCAGTTCTGACAAAAGGCACTTTAAGGGGAAAAAAAAAAATCTTTTGGGTTTTAGTTATATGTCAGCTGACTACCCAGATGTGTACATCGGCCCCTGGCTAGAACCGAATTTGGGAGCTGGGATCTCCATCCAGGTCTGCCCTTGTGATCCTCGCGGTTGGTCCCATCTCTGCCATCTCCCAGGTCTGAGTCAGCAGGGAGAAATGGAACCCAGGACTTGGAAGCATGCCTGCCTCACTGTCATCGGGAGGTTGCCTCCATAGCCTGAGACCACAAGGCTGTGGTAGCATGCAGGTGTACTGACCCTGGACTCTTCCTTTTTTTTTTCCTCTCAGTGAACACCGAGAGCGAGACGGCAGTGGTAAACGTCACCTATTCCAACCGGGAGCAGACCAGGCAGTGAGTATTGGGAGTGAGCCCTGGGGGTGGGAGTGGGCACTGCTGGACTCCACGGGGGCTCTAACTCTCTGCTTCCAGAGTTGGGTCTTTTTGGTTCACTGTTCTGGGATCTGCTTGGTTCTGGGAAGACGATGATTGTGTGTGGGTGGCAGAGAAGTCCTCTGGGCCATCTGCTTGTCCCAGGGCCTGCAAGAACTTTGCTGTGATGCTGTTGCCATCTAGTGGTGCTGAAGGAGAACTGTGGGTCCAGAAAGGATTTTTTCCTGTGGCATTGAAACACGCATTTTACTGACACTCTGGTCAAAAAGCTGGTGCCTTTTGTTTTTAGACCTTTAATTTGAAAGCCAGAGTTACAGAGAGAGGAAGGAGAGAAAGACGGAGGGAGGATCTCAAATGGCTGCAGCATCTGGAGCTGCAAAATCCAAAGCCAGCAGCTCTGTCCCGGTGCCCCATGTGGCTGCAGGGGCCCAAGGCCTGGGGTCATTGTCTGCTACTTTTCCAAGTGTATAGTAGGGGGCTGGAACTGAAGGGGAGCACCCAGGACAAAACCAGAGCCCTTTGGTGATGCGGACACCGCAGGTGGAGGATACGCAGGTCAGGGGACCAACCCCATGGTAATGCTTTCTGATCCCTCACACCCATAGTTTTCAGCTCCTTGGCCCTTGGGGTGAACAATTTTCACCACACCCAGCTCATTGGAAATTACTGCTGTTGTCTGGAGCTGACTCTGTTCCAGGATTTTTAGTGGTGTTTTTCTTTTCCCCCTTCTGTTTGCCGTGTTTTACCTTGGGGTGGGTTTTCTTGATGCTTTAAAGTACAGCCTCTTCCGACAGAGTGATGTTTTGTAAAACTCACTCATTTCGCAGCCTCCCAGGCTCAGGGTTCGCTGCTCCCTGTGGCTCCCTCCACGCCTGAGCCCCTGGCAGTAGACGGCACATGCTGTCTCTCTCCCAAGCCTGTTCAGTCTCTGCTTACATTTCTCCCCTGTCCCAGAGGCGTCCGTGTGCATCTGGTGAGACAGCTGTGTTGTCCTTTTCAACTTTGCCGTCCAGGCTGGACTGATGGTACAACAAATCTTTTGGAAGATTTGTTTGTTTTCATTTGAAAGGCACACTTAACAGTGAGAGAGACAGAAACCTCTTCCATCCATTGATTCACTCCCCAAAGGGCCACAATAGTTGGAGCTGAGCCAATCTAAAGCCAGGAGACTCTTCCAGGTCTCCCACATGAGTCCAGGGGTCCCAAGGCCTTGGGTCATCCTTGACTACTTTCCCAGGTCACAGCCAGGGAGCTGGATGGGAAAGCGGGGCCGCTGGAACATGAACTGGTGCCCATATGGGATCCCAGTATGCACAAGGAGAAGATTTTAGCTGTTAGGCTACCAAGCTGGGCCCAGACCTTTCCCATACCTGCTGGGATCATGTTTGTGTGCCATGGGAACCTAGACCTGTTTACGGTCAGCTGAGGCACCGGCAAAACTTCAGCGTGATGTCCCCGTACACAAAGATGGACTTGCACACCTACTGAGGCCAAGTGCAGGGTGGACACCAGCTTCCCACTGCAGTGTTGGGCATGGCTGCTGGGTACCCAAGGATCTTGCCCCACATTCCCTTAAGGTGTCTCAGGGCAGGAGGCTCAGGGCTTTGCTCCCCTGAGCAATTGGTTTCCTTTTCGGTGCAATGAAGGTTTTGTAGCTGGAAGAATCCCTTGTGCAGCTACCTCCAGCTGCTGTGGGAACGCAGGGACTGGTCTCTGCCGATACTGTGGCTTTCACTGGTCCGGAAGTACACTTCTCAGTGGTCTACCTGAAAGTGAGCCACATGTGCCAGCCAACGTGCTGGACATGCCGGATTAGCATGCTTTCCCACTGCGGAGGAGGGAGGTCTCCAGCTGTTCAGCCTGGAAGTTCTCCAAGGTGGAGGTGGGATGTGGGGGCGCATGCCAGGTGTGCCGCTAGCTGTGATGATGTACAGTGCTTTGTGTACTAAGCCCAGGGTAGGGGAGTGACCAGTAGACTCTGCCTGTGTCCCCAGAGCCATCACAAAACTGAACGGCCACCAGCTAGAGAATCATGCCTTAAAGGTCTCCTACATTCCCGACGAGCAGATAGCCCAGGGCCCCGAGAACGGGCGCCGCGGAGGCTTTGGCTCTCGGGGTCAGCCCCGCCAGGGTTCCCCCGTGGCGACCGGGGCCCCGGCCAAGCAACAGCAAGTGGACATCCCCCTTCGGCTCCTGGTACCCACCCAGTACGTCGGCGCCATCATCGGCAAGGAGGGTGCCACCATCCGCAACATCACGAAGCAGACCCAATCCAAGTGAGTCTTGGCAGGGGAGAACAATGGCTGGAGTATACGGAGGTCTGCTAGGGACTCACCTGGGGTGAAGGCGGACCTGGCCTGTGGGGAGGGAGAAGGGTCTGGGGCGCATCGTTGGTGGCAGTGGCTTGATCATGCTCTGTCACTAGACGTTCTGGAGAGTGTCTCTGGGAGCCTCTGACCAGCCCGGTGGTGGCTTGGGGCTGGCCAGTCTGACCTTGATCTGCACATCGGGACCTCCCTTCTCTAATCTTTGCAGCCGATCAGTGTGCTCAGTGGCAAAGAACGGGTCATTATGAATCCCATGTTGGGGACAGGGTGTTGTGTTCCTGTGTCAGTGATGGTAGTGGTGAGGCATGGCACTCCAGGGGGCAGGGAGCCAGGGTCGTGTCATGGGTGACGTTCTACCCTGAGCCATACCTCAGCCAACGCAGTTACTGACTGTAGTTCTGGCTCACCCTTGGCCCTTCCCAATTCTGACCTGATTTATTTATTTGAAAGGAGAGTGACGAAGAGACACCTCCCATTCACTGCTTCATGTCCTAAATGGAAGCTGTAGCAGGCATGGGCCAGGCCAGAACCAGGAGCCTGTGCAGGGATCCAAGTATTTGGGCCGTCCTCCGCTGCTTTCCCAGCACGTTGGACGAGTAGGGCGCTGGATTGGAAGTGGGACAGCTGGGAATGGAGCCGGTGGTCTGCCGATGTAGCTGACCAATCTGCTACCCCACTCCGGCACCCCCCAGCTCTACCTTCCATCAGCTTTATTTGTGGAAGAGTGGGTTCTGTGAATTGTGTGTGGGGGCGGGGGGAGGGAACACCTGGAGTCGGGGTGTGGTTGGTGAACACTAACCGGCCCTGCTCCCTGGCCGCAGGATCGACGTGCACAGGAAGGAGAATGCTGGCGCAGCGGAGAAGGCCATCAGCATCCACTCGACCCCCGAGGGCTGCTCCTCGGCCTGCAAGATGATCCTGGAGATCATGCACAAAGAGGCAAAAGACACGAAAACGTGAGCCCGCCACCCCTTCTGCCCTTCCTGTTTACCGAAAGTACAGGGTTCTGGGAGATAAGGGGTGCAAACTCACGAATGGAACTCTCCTTTTTACTGCGTTGTATGATCTCCGAGGGATTCTGTGTGCTCACAAATGAGAGAGAGAGAGAAAGCGGAGAGACTGTGTTGGGTGGGGGCAACGTGGGTGGATGTATGCACAGGTGTTTTAGCATCGAGGGCCACCCTGGACATGTGGTTTTATCCTGTCTGTCAGTACTGATGTGCCCACCTTGTTCCTTCCCTGCTTGCACAGTCTATGGGTGTAGTGCATTGGTCAGGCTCCTGTGTCTAAATGGTTGTCGCATTGTCTGAGTTTTTTATTAAGACAGTGGTAGGATAGGAGGAATGGATATAGACGCTTGGAGTTGTGGCTAAGACAAATGTTGGCTGGGCACTCCCACATTCCCACAGGGAATGGTTTCTGGTCCAGTCTCCATTTCTTTTTTTTTTTTTTTTTTTAAAGAAGATTTGTTTTTTATTGGAAAGTCAGATATACAGAGAAAAGGAGAGACAGAGAGATGAACATTTTCCATCCATCGATTCACTCCCCAAGCAGCTAAAATGGCTGGAGCCGAGCCGATCTGAAGCCAGAAGCCTGGAGTCTCTTCCGGATCTCCCACACTGGTGCAGGGTCCCAAGGCTTTGGGCTGTCCTCAACTGCTTTCCCAGGCCACAAGTAGGGAGGGAGCTGGATGGGAAGTGGGGCTACCGGGATACGAACTGGTGCCCATATGGAATCCTGGCGTGTGCAACGTGAAGACTTTAGCCTCTAGGCTACCACTCCGGGCCCCGGTCTCCATTCTTAAGGATTTAAGTCCCTGTGGGAAACCCAGATGGAATTCTGGTTACCCAACTTCGACCTTGCACAGTGTCGGGAGTCACCAGCAGATGAGAAATTTCTATCATCTGTCTCTGTTTTTTATAAGTAAAATAGTGAGCATGTCCCTTGACACGTTTATACACCGGCCTTTTTTTATAGCATTACTGAGGCTCAGTTTGTGGACAATAAACCACATTTTTCAAGAAATACTGATTCATTGCAAAGGCTGAGAGACAGAGAAGAGATGGAGGGAGGGAGCCCGTGATAGCCGGGGTGGACCTAGGCTGAAGCCAGGAGCCAGGAATTCCACCCGGGTCTCCTACATGAGTGAAAGGGGCTCCAGCGGCTGAGCCGTCCTCTGCCACCTTTCTGGCTGCACTAACAGGAAGCTAGATCAGAAGCTGGGGAACTGAGACTCAGGTCGCTCATGCACAGAGCCGCGATGGAGACCCTTAATCATCCACCTGCAGAGTGCACGTCTGGCTTGTCTTCCAGGGCTGACGAGGTTCCCCTGAAGATCCTGGCTCATAACAACTTCGTGGGGCGTCTCATTGGCAAGGAGGGCCGGAACCTGAAGAAAGTGGAACAGGACACAGAGACGAAAATCACCATCTCCTCGTAAGACACTCATCCTGTGCTGGGGAGGGCGCGGCAGTGGTAGGGGGTATGCACGGCCCACGGGGGCTGCCTCTCTCCAGCTGTCTCCCTCGAACCTGGACGTTTTTCCTGCTGGGGCAGAGAGCCCATCCATCCCACGGACTCAGGGGCTGGAGCATCTCCTTCCCACCACCTTAGGATGCTGGCACCTCCCCGGTCATGCCAGGTCCCTATGCCTCACCCGCTACACCCCGTAGAGAACAGCATCCGGAGGCAGGGCATGCTGGACCTCAGCCCCTTCCTGTCCTCGTGCCCGGGGTGGGTGAGCTCCTTGCTGAGTAGTTTCCTTGAGTCACACGAAGGAATTGGCAGCCATGGGGGCAGCGTGCAGGTACCAGGCTACCTCCCGCTTGCTTGCCTGAGTCTCTACAAGGACAGGGTTGAAAGAACAGAAGCGCCTGAAGAGCCTGCAGATGTGGTGCAAAAGCCCCCCGACCCTGGGTGTTTGGGCTCATGCCCCTAGGCAAGGCCTGCTCCCGGGCTGCTGCTGGCAGGTGACCCCGCTGGCTTCTCCCCCTGCAGGTTGCAGGATCTCACCCTCTACAACCCCGAGAGGACCATCACTGTGAAGGGCGCCATCGAGAACTGCTGCAGGGCCGAGCAGGAGATCATGAAGAAAGTTAGAGAGGCCTATGAAAACGACGTGGCCGCCATGAGCGTGAGTGTTGAGGCAGAGCACAGGCACCACATGGATGTCAGGGAGCCAAGTCCTTGAGCCGTGACCTGCCTGCCAGCATGTGCGTTAGCAGGGAGCTGGCAAAAGGAGTGGGGTCAGGACTTGAACCCATGTACTGTGGGCATGGGACGAGGTCAAGCAGTGTCTCAGCTGCCATTTGGTGGGAATCGGTAGTTGTCAGTGCAGCGAGCATGTCACAATGCTCAGGTGATTGTGTGGACACCACGGGTCAGGGTTGGGTGCAGGTGCTCCTGGTTCCTCCTGGTTTGGGGGCTCGGTTTTCCTTGGGGACTATCAGTCCTCACATTGTGCCAGAATGCATGCACAGGGGCCAGGCGAGCCGCGGGCTGATTGCTTCATCTTTCTCTCCCCCAGCTGCAGTCCCACCTGATCCCCGGCCTGAACCTGGCTGCCGTGGGTCTTTTCCCAGCCTCGTCCAGCGCCGTTCCTCCACCCCCCAGCAGTGTCACAGGGGCGGCGCCCTACAGCTCCTTCATGGTAGGTGCAGGGTCAGGCTGCCGGGGACCTCTGAGCCTGTGGGGAGCAGGAGGGTGGGTGAGGGTCTTCAGGGATACCTTGCTGATGTCATTCCCAGCAAGTAGCATTGCACTAGCCCCTGGCTGCTGGCTGTTCTTCCCTCCTCCTCTTTTTTTTTTTTTCTAAGATTTATTTTTATTTTTATCACAAAGTCAGATATACAGAGAGGTGGAGAGACAGAGAGGAAGATCTTCTGTCCGATGACTCACTCCCAAAGTGACCACAATGGCCAGTGCTGCACTGATCTGAAGCTGGGAACCAGGAACCTCTTCTGGGTATCCCACACAGGTGCAGGGTCCCAAGGCTTTGGGCCGTCCTCGACTGCTTTCCCGGGCCACACGCAGGGAGCTGGATGGGAAGTGGAGCTGCCAGGATTAGAACCGGCGCCCATATGGAATCCTGGCACGTTCAAGGCGAGGACTTTAGCTGCTAGGCCATGCTGCCAGGCCCTCTTCCCTCATCCTTTAGTCCTGGGGTCAGAGGAAGTGGCAGTATTCTTGGGAAGCCCAGTGTGGTCAGTCTGGGTGTGTGCATACCCCATTCCTCCTGGATGGCAGCCTTCAGGGGAGTGGCCCGGCTTCTAGGCTAAGCCCCTTGGAGCCCCTGGATGATGAGGCCTCCTGTCCCAGCAGCAGGCCCCAGAGCAGGAGATGGTGCAGGTGTTCATCCCGGCGCAGGCAGTGGGTGCCATCATTGGCAAGAAAGGGCAGCATATCAAGCAGCTGTCACGGTTCGCCAGCGCCTCCATCAAGGTAAGCCCTCATGCTGTCTTCTGGCTGAGCACTGTAGTGGGCTTGGCCCCTGCCCGGGCCTCCCTCCTGTAGTCTGTGGTGCAGTCTGCATGGCACTTTATGGCCCTTCGAGCTTTTGACCTTGCCCGTAGCTTTGCCTTCTGAACTCCCAATGTCTGGGCTAGCTGGGAGCAGGCTCTGCCTCCCACTGTCCCGGGTTCACATTGCAGCACTCCTTTCACGTGTACTGTGGGATCCGAACCCTCTCTGTCCCTTGAATGTTGTGCCACCCCTGCCACCGGCATGGTCATTGCCTGGCTCCCACCCTGAACAGGTGCTGCTTATCTTCCGTGACCCTGGGTTCATGGTCATGGGAGAGAGAGAAAGCAGGTGTTACTGAAACTAAGGCACTATTCAGTTGCATAAATGTGGATGCCCGTGGACTTGAGGAATTTGGTTCAAGGCTGTGGTATCCCCAGTACAGGTCCGTCCGGCATCTTCCCAGCTGACACAGCATGTCTGTGTCCCTGGCTCTCCACCAGACTCCCCCGAGACACCCTGAGAGACTTGGACGAGTTGAGGGGTGGGGCTGCCCTGTCTTTGCTACTGCTCTTGCCTGCCCCACCTACTCTGCTGGCAGTTTCGGGTGCATGGTTTGTTCGGAATGGGCATCCAGCAGGGCTGACATGGCAGGGTTCTTCCACGGTGGGCTCCTCTCTAACCCCCTGTTTGGTCCCCAGATTGCTCCGCCTGAAACACCTGACTCCAAGGTTCGGATGGTTATCATCACTGGTCCCCCGGAGGCACAGTTCAAGGTTTGCATCTCTGTTTCTCTCTCTCTCTCTCTCTCTCTCTCTCTCTCTCTCTCTCTCTCTCTCTTTTTTTAATGGATTGATTAATTTTTTTTATTTATTTGAGAGACAGATTTATAGAAAGAAGTAGAGACTTCTTCGCTGGTTCACTCCCCAAATGGCTACAACAGTTGGAGTTGAGCAGATCTGAAGTCAGGAACTTTGTTCTGTGTCTTCCATATGGCTGCAGTGTCCCAGTGACTTGGACCGTTCTCTAGCTGCTTTCTCAGGCCATAAGCAAGGAGCTTGATGGAAAATGGAGCAGCCAAGACTCTGCTTTTCTAAGCTAGAGTCGGTGCCCCTAGGGTAGGGTGGGGTGAGGGGCACAGCACATTGCCACGTCCAAATACACGCCCTTATCCCTAGTCAGCACTCACCTAATTGTCCCAGGGAGCAGGAAGCGTGGTAGCTAGCAGGTGGTTCACCTGAGCCACTTACATTGCCTGCCTCTGACTAATGGTCCCAGGTTGGGGGCAACGGAGGGGGCGTAGAGCCTGGCAGTCGTGCCCCTGGGCTCCCATGATACTGGGGACTTCTGGTCACCAGCATGGCTCTGATAGATGATCATCTTCTTTTCTCAGGCTCAAGGAAGAATCTACGGCAAACTCAAAGAGGAGAACTTCTTTGGGCCAAAGGAGGAAGTAAAATTGGAGACCCACATACGGGTGCCGGCCTCAGCAGCCGGCCGGGTCATTGGCAAAGGTGGCAAAACGGTGAGGCTTATGGGCTGCCAGTATCTGGCTCTCTGCCATCCTGGCCGGTTTAGCCTTGGCACTCCCCACAGCTTGTCCCATCTACCCTGTCTCTTGCTTTGCTCTCCTATGACTGGCAGCAACCTGAGCTCTTTGCTGGCCTCCCCCCTATTTAGGTGAATGAGTTACAAAACTTGACAGCAGCTGAGGTGGTGGTGCCACGAGACCAGACCCCAGATGAGAATGACCAGGTCATCGTGAAGATCATCGGGCATTTCTATGCCAGCCAGGTGTGTGTGGCACCTTCTGCTGGGAGGGTAGCATGCGCCCAGGGAGCAGTGCAGCCTGGGCACCTGAGGCTGACTTGGTGGCCTTGACCTGTCCACCTGTCTCTGGGCTGCGGTCCTTCCCTCTAAGGTGCAGGAGTGGGATGTGAGGATGCTGTATTCCCTCCATCTTCATAGCGTGTCTCGGAGCTGGGACTTGATGTGTGTTAGATAACACCAAGCCTTTCCATTTGTCCAACCTTAAAGCCGGCTATCCCTCGCAGCCCTGGGGAGAACTGCATGGCAAACAGATCCTATAAACGAGCTCTTCCCACTCACTCACTGATGAGGAGACCTGGGCTCTCATGAGGGTGGCAGGAACCATGTAGAAGTGTCGCATCTCCTCTGCCAGGGTCTGCCTCAGCAGGGGACTGGAGCGACTCATGAGCTGCAGCTGGGAAATAAACTCCATTATTGCACCTGTCTAGCAAGTCAAGGAATCCACTTTGGGTTCAGTAGCACGATCGGCGGTGTCAGCTGCCCCTTTTCCTCCCCTACCTTTGCCCTCTTGCGTTACCCAGGGGATGCGGGGGGGTCACAGAGCTCCCTGCCCTTTGTTGATGCAGATGGCCCAGCGCAAGATCAGAGACATCCTGGCACAGGTGAAACAGCAGCACCAGAAGGGACAAAGCCATCAGGCCCAGACGCGACGGAAGTAAAGCAGCCTCCCCCAGGATGGCGTGTGGACGTGAAGCGCGTGCTCTCCCGGGCAGCCTTGAGAATGAATGGGAATCAGGGACAGGCGGGCCGGGCTGTAGATCAGGTTTGCCCGCTTGGTTGAAACCGATGGCTCCAGTGAACTCTGATCCCTCGGCCCTCCCACACCCCACCCCAACAAGTGGCCCACCCCGAGAGGATGTCACCTTGAAAAATATTAGCTCAGGGTGCTTTTAAACGTGGATTGTTTTAAAGAAATTCTCCAGGCCCCCCTGAGACAGTAGCGGGGGTCTGACCCCAGTGGGAAGAGAAATAAAATTTCCTCCAGGTTTTTAAAACATGCAGAGGAGTGTTTTAATCAGCCTCCAAGGATGGTTTGCTTCTTGAATCTTCCCAGTCCTTTTCCTTCCTACCTGGTTAGTTGACGGAAGTACCTCCTTTTCTCACGCTCAAGCCACCTCCTCCGCTAGTCACCCTCATTGCTTTATCTTTACTGGTACCAGGGGGGAAAAAAAAATGGAAATGCCTTGCCTTGCGTACAGTATTGACCCAATGGGGAAGACCCATCAGTATCTGTGGTTGAATTCCAGTGTCTCTCCACCAGCCGACAGGTACAGCAAGGAATAAAGAAGGGGGAGAAAAAAACGATTGAAATATTTAGTAATCCACGTTTAAAAGGAGTGCCCTCGTGGCTCATATAGGTCCCAGGTCACTGTCTAGAAAAATTGGCACAAGTGAAATTGTCCGCCCCTCTGGGGCTTCCACTCTTGGATTCCCCACCATGCCCACCTCCCTCTTACCCTGCGCGTGTCCTACATCCCGGGGAGGTGCACGTGGGTGACACCAGATGCTCCTCAGGGTAGGGGCTCACCGCTGTCCCTGATTCCCGTCATTCTCAGGCAGATTTTATATATATATTTTTTAAAGTCTATTTTAATGATTGGATATGAGCACTGGGAAGGGGACACGAACTCCCCTTGTTAACAAGTCTCTCAGTTCCACAGAGGACTTGGCGGCCAAAAGGCTGCTGCTGTGCCCCCCAACCCCAGCCTGTGTGTTCCCATAAGGGCTGGCTCCCAGAGGCGGGGGCTGCAGGGCACTCCCCACCACAGCTCTGGTGGGCCATGGAACCCAACCCTGAGCTCCTGAGAGAGCGAACGTCTGTCATCTGGCAATTTCAGTAGCTTGGAGAGTCCTGTTTTCATCCGAGAGGAGTATTTAACTGGTGGCTTCTGCCTCCATGAATTGTCAACATGATGAAGATTGTGTCAGAAAAGGAAGGGAAAAAAAAAGAAAATGATAATTCAAGTGAGTACCAGTTGCTTTATGCACATAGGGGTAAGCTTAATTTATTAATTCACTAGGCTCAGTACGATCCCGTTGGAGGATAGCAGCCATCAGTTAAATGAGGCTAGGCCTCTCTCCTCCGTAATACTGTACTGATTATCAATGCATAATTAGCCAGGTGATGCACTTTAGCTACCCTGGACAATACGATCATGTGTGCTGGGAATGGAGGATGGGAAGCCGGGGGCATCCCATCCTCCTGACATTGTAACAACCGGAACAAGACAACCATGGCGTGGGCGAGTCAGGCAATGCTGTGTGCGAAGTGAACTACCTCAAGGTATGAAGTTACCTCAGCAATGATGTTCCTTTTTGTTCTCCCCAACCCCATTTTTCTTGTTTTTTGTTTTTCTTTTTTTTTTTTTAATTTTTTTAAAAAAATTTTTTTTCTTTGCGGCTTGCTGATATTTTATATAAAAAAAAGAAAGTGAAGCAAAAGAGAAGCTGATAGTCTTGAATATTTTATTTTTTTAATGAAAAGAGAAAAAAATGAGAAAGTTATGTTTCCTAATTTCCTACAACGTGAGCCAGTAGCCCTTCAGGAACTGTGTGTGTGGAGAACAGGCCCTGTGGGAAAGGCAGGTGGGGGGGCTGGCCCCTCAGGGGGGAGCCTGGCAAGGTGGGAGGAAAGAAGACCCCCGGGCTGAAGAGTCCTGAGCTCGGCCTGGCTGTGAATCCCCAGCAGCACAGCCTGCGCCTGGCTGAGCCCGGATAGGATCAGCATCCAACTGCAGCCACTGGGCCACTAGCCTCCCGTCTCCTCCCCTTTGAAATAGCAACCCAGCCGGTTTTTCCCACCAGTGGTGCTGTTGATATTTAAACTAGTGCCTCTGTTTTATCGAGGAGAGAAAGTAAATGATGATAACTAAAGAAAATATACCCTAAAAAAAAATCCTATATTTCTCCATCTGAAAACATGGAAGCCAAGATTTCATTCATGGAAGAAAAACCAGGCCACTGGCTGCTGCTTCCAGAGGCCTGCCTGGCTGATGGCGCGATGCTTTTCATGTTTTCGTTTTTTGTGGTGGTTTCATGTCCATCCCACCTTGCTATTCTTTGTCTGTTCTCATGGACTGAGAGGCAAGCCACTCCTCCGAACGCTGCCCCCACGCCATCTCCCTGTGGGGCTGTAGTGTGATCTAAATGTGGACTCACATCTAGGGGGTTCCTTTGGGTGGTGAGTGGTTCGTAGGAGGGGCAGGAGCACATGGCAGACCTGGTTTGGGTGGGCAAGGCAGGTTGCTGTCTCGTTGTAGTCTGACTGCTTTGCCCCCCATCCGCCGGGCCCGCCCTCCCTAGGCCCCCAGAACTGTTTAGCCAAACACAGGAGAAACAGGATAGCTTTTAGGGACATGAGTGAGGCCCACAGACTGAAGCCTCCTGCCTGTCCGTCCCAACCACAAAAAGGGTCTCCCAACTTTCCCCTCTCTGGCTCTCTCTGTTCTTTATCCCAAAGTGGAGCAGATCAGCATTCAGACATTGGCCATTTAGTGATTGAGAGTGTATTTCCAGCAGCAAGCATGCTTTGATATCTGGTTCAAACCATCATCAGTAAAAGAACCCATAGTCCCCGGAACATGATTGTCGCAGTGTTCCGCTGCCACAGGGGCCTGCTCCCTCACCAGCGAGCGCAGGCCAGGTCCTTTGGCCATTGGCCGACTCTGCTCCCCGCAGAGCCCCGGATGCGTGCATGTATGTGTGTGGAGGGCCTGGGACGCTGCCAAGGGGTGAGCGTGGCCCCACACCTCGCTGATAACTTGCCCAGCAGGAAAAAGAAAAAGATGCATGACCAGAAAGCAAAAGGACATGATTCAGTGGTTTTAAGGTTTCAGTGAGATGGAGGGCCCAGCTCTGGGGTCCTCCCGTGACTACAGAAGGGTGGTCGGCCTCAGGGCCAGTATTCGCCCTGCTCAGCGCCTCTCTGTACCCATCCTTGGTGAGACACCAAGCCGCTGTGAGAAGAGTGACTTTGAGCAGAAGGCGTCCTTCCGTGCTCTGAGGCGTGTGTATGTGTGGGTGTGGGTGTGGGTGTGGTGGATGTGCGTGTGCCACGTTATAGTTTTAAGGAAGGACCATCTCTTTTTTAGACTCTTGTTTAAATTCTCTGGAACAGATGGAAACCAAAACGGTTAGTTGATTGACTTGGAAGCTGCACCTGCCAGTTACATCCCAATGGCTTTAATCCCCTCTGGGGTTCTTCTGACTTCTGCAGTTGGGTCAGGATGTGGACTTGGCTCTGCGGGGGTGGGGTGGGGTGCAGTGGAAGGGAGACTCGGTAGGACTGACTCTTTTCCTGCCTTACTTCCCGTTCTTCCTACACAATCTTTTCCCCCCTTTCCTCTGAGCTCCCCACTTTGGGAGCAGTTGAGCTATTCTTGCTTATGCCTTGCTCCTAACCGTGAGCCCATGTCCAGCCCAGAGGCCACTGGAGAAGGATGCTCCAGCTGGTTTTGCTTGTCCGTTTTACCTCTGTGCCAAAGACAGACAGAAAGACCGAGGCTGAGAGAGGCCATTTCCAAGTCCATGCAGGAATTTCTCCCTAGAACCCCATAGAAGCCCAGGCCTCCTGGGGGCCAGGGTGGGGTCTAAAGGTGCTATCATAGGCCAAGGGGCGGGGACTTGAGAAAGGGGCCCGTGGCCTCCTCGTTGCACTTTGGGGAAGAAGGGGGAGGCAGGGACTCCTTCTTGGGGGACCTTCCCTGTCTCCCTGTCCCCACTGCAGAGATGGGTTGCAGCTCCCTTCCAGCTTGCAGACTGGCGGTGAGGAGGGGCCTCAGTTAGCTGTCAAGGGTGCCTTCCCCTCCCCCACCCCAGCTGGACCCTCTGCCCAGCTGGGAGCCAGCTGCACTGCTAACTACCTCGCAGCGCCCATAGGGCCTGCCCCAGCCTCCAGGCCACCGCCATATTCCCACCTCATCACCTGGTACACCTCCATGTGGCCTTGTGGTTCCAGTTCTGGCTGCTTTCCCAACAGACCAGGAGAAGGAAAGCACGGCCCGTCAGTGATGGCAGCAAGCAGAGACCTGGGGGGTGCTTTGGAGCCTTTTCTTTACAGTGCCCTAAGACTTGGATGCACATCTCTCTCGCCCGCACACTTGAGTACCACCAGCAGGCATCTGTGTCTTTCCTTTGGGTGCACTGGGGCTTCTCCAGTAGGGGAGCAGGCCTCAGGGCCCAGGGTGGATGGAGAGGGCAGACCTGGCCCTCGCCCTGGGCACCTCCTCAGTGCACACAGTTAGCAAGGTGCCCTGATGGGCACCAGCCCTAGGTTTGAGTCCGGACTGACAAGACAAAAAAGAATTTTGTTTTTTCTTAAATGAAATAGCAAAAAAGCTCTTTGGGAGCGTGTGTTTTGAGTTACCACAGATGATGGATGCTATGCGTAGAAACGGATTAGCTACCTCAATCCTTACAGTCAGATTGGAAGCTGAAATGAATTGAAGCTTGTGTCCCGAAAATTTGTCCCTGTGGGTGGTGGGACAGGCAGGCTTGCCAGGGACACCCCCTTTCCGCCACCCTGACAGGTTAGGCTCTGGGGACTGTTCTTTCGGCCCCCTGTATCTTCCTCGCCCCTTGCACCTCCTGCCTGCTGGAGCTGAGTTGGACCAGATAGTAAGGGAAGGCATTGCTATCCCCTCAGAGCCAGAGGGGTTGTTGTGCCT